ATGCTCCTTATATCTGGAACAAACTCCCAGAAAGCCTCAGATCAGCTGAAACACTCAGTTTATTTAAATCCAGGTTGAAGACTCACCTGTTCTCAGCTGCTTTTGAATAAAACACCAAATCCATATTTTTAAGCTTAAATTTCAAAATGTACATTTTAACTACTGATTTTATCTACTGTTCCTTCTTTTTTTCTTTTTTCAATTTTAAATCATGCTTTTTATTTGTTTTTGTTTTTTAATGTCTCTGTAAAGCACCTTGAATCACCTTGTTGTTGAATTGTGCTACATAAATACACTTGCCTTGCCTTTCTTATGGCATTTCTGGCTGTTGGTCACACATAACAAGCAACATGAAGACACAATTCAAATTTTGGTTGAAATTCTTTTTAACACTTTATAGAATAAAAGGCTAACCAACTAAATCATGTTTCCCCTTTGACATGACTGTTTCGTAATAGACTGTGTGTGTATCCAGCAAACAGTTCACCCACACCTGCCCAGTGTGGCGCTGTGCAGGCATGTTTGCTAGGACATTAATAATAATTAAAGAAACGCCATACAGGGAGATGTGACTAGTGTGGAGGAGATGGAACCAAATGTTATATTACACTGTCAGAAAAATGAAGCTGAAAGAAGGCGACTGATTCAAAGCCTCCATGGTGTTGTAGTTCAAACATTGACCTGACAAACCAAATGTCCATTTGAGACTGGAAAAATATATAAATGCTTGGGGTTTGTGACAAGAAGGACATCCATGTAAAAAATGAAATATGTGGTGCAACAAGAGAGCAGCGGAAAGTAGTGGGTTTTTTTTTTCAGACTTTATACCATTTGCTGGTTGTAATGTACCAGGGAGCACAGGTGGGCCTTACACTGTGAGGCCAAGGATGGTCCCCAGTATGGCAGCCCAGACCTAGAGCGTGGGCATACTGTGAGTACGCTGCATAGCGGTACTGTGGACTCCTTTCTGCTTAGTGTGGGCAGCCCGCACTATGTGTTGCCCCTCTGGTGCCCATCTGTCCTGCCTCTCATGCCAATACAGGGGTCTGCAGTTGGCTTCCCACTGTGAGCTGTGTGGGTTTCCATAAAATCTGAAACTCACACAGGCCCCAACCACCATATTTGCTGGGAACAGAAACACAGTCACAATGAACTCAGGTTTGCTATCACACACTTTTACTGTATAAAATGTGAAGAACAGCAGATCATTTCTTGTTTGCAGCAACCCTCAAAATCACCTTAATGGCATTCATTAAAATGCACTCCTTTGTAAAATGTGTATCTTCACTACGCTATCATTCGTATTTATAGAACCAAGACAAACTTGTTCAAAAAACACTGACTATAAACTGGAGGGCTGGTACTTTTTTTTTGTTTGTTTGTTTGTTTTCATACAGTACATGTTTTAAGTGCACAAAAGTCAAAAATCTACTAATCCAGAGTGAAAAGAATACAGGAGCCTTCATTCACTATAGTAACAGGCTAATAATTATTTGGCAAAGAGAACCAAGAAACTCAAAGGCAAATCTGAAAGTCACATGGGAGGACATATTAAAGGCCTGTTTCGGTACAAAAAATAGATATATAAACAATATACAAATACAACATAAACATCTAAGTTTCCATCCCTGTGAGTGTAGTACATATCATTTGTCACAATGACCACTGAAGGCAAATCATAGAGACACAGAGGGTCCTGGTGGCGTTTCTCTGTCTGCGTGCTGGAAGCAGCTTCAGAGCTCAAGACTGCGCTTCAGCTTCAGGATCGTCGTAGATGTAGCTGCCGACACCTCCGGTGTTTACGCCTGAGAAGGGTAGACCAGACGTTTAGATTTAAAGGGTCTGTTCACTCAAAAAACATACATTAACACGAAATAACCATTTGGCTGGTTATGGTTCACTTTGCAAAGGTTTTGGGATTGGTTCCTGAAAAATACAAACATCGACTCCATATAATTGTATCCTTCTTTGCTATAATAACATGGAGCTGGAGTATGATAACACAGACACAGCTTAAGATTTTCCAAAGTTTTCCAGCCTTGTAGACTAAATAATAAAGACTAACTAGCTGTCCATGTCAATTATAGTATTTACTAGACTTTTTAAATCCTCACACAGTTTTTTTTCTCTTCATATACATTTCACATCGACATAGATATTGGTATTATAGGTCACATTGAATCTGATCCTTCAAGGTCATAAAACAGTGAGTATTTATTTCTACCCTGAAAGCTGACTAATACGACTGCCTCAGATGTATTTATGTCACTAAATTAACATATTTTACAGATTTTTGTGGGACACAGTGGTTTGAGCCATTGTTTTAAAAAACAGTCCAGCACCAGCCTTCCCCGCAGCCCAATCCCCCCCTCCCATACTCAGATTACATACCTTTTGGTCCAAACAGTACAGCATAGCATGGTTTGTGGCAGTAAGGCTGCCCATCATGCTGAAACACAGAGAAAACCATTCCTCTCAATTCTTCCATATTTGAAAATGTTTTCACTTAGTGTTTCATTCTACCTTAACTCTCAGCAACATTCAGTGTACATGAGATAGAAACAACTACAACATTTATCTGCTTTCTCTTTTTTCTACCAGCTGAAAACCCCAGAACACAATATGCTAAATATAAACAGCTTCTATTAACTGACATCAATCAAATTCAGCAACAAACACATTTTACACCTCAGCAACATCTCATCATGGGATGGCTGGATTGAATTTTAACACTAGACAGGCTCAGCTTATTTTTAACTCATGTCTGGGGCACAATAACTGGATGGGGATGTGGCCACAGAGATGTTACACCTCACCTTTACTTTAGCCTGACAGACTAAATCCTTTGAATTACAGCTATACAAATTAAAGATGATTACATGAAGATGAATGTCAGTGATGTAGTGGCTCATCCGGTTCACGAGCCATCACGGCTCACGTTTACTGATTATAAAATGACAAATGTGATCTTAACCCTCAGAATGCTTTGGGTGTAAAGCCATTAGGGGATCATTTTGTGACTCTTGTGAACTGTCGGTGAACAGACAGACACTGATGTCTCACCATGTTAGAAGTTTATTGATTCTTTGGCTGAATTAACTAAAACATTTTCTTATGTGACTCAAATACTATATGTGTATTTTTGACAATCTACCTGTAGAACATCTAGGAACTGACTCTGTCTTTCACCCATGATGATGCCTTGACTAGACCCACAGTTACACACATATAATTACAGTCTCATTGTGTGCATTTTAAAACAGCAAAATGCCATCACTAGCACTGATGTTAAGTTAGTACAATTAAAATAATCTGGAGCCATAAAAACAACCTGAAAAAAAAGAGAAACTCACTAAACATTTTTGGCATAATAATAAATTGAAAAATGGAGATCAGAGATTTATCATAATGTGTAGCTGGAGCTTGTGATAATGTGTCCTTTTCTATCTTGTGACATAATCTAAGTCAGTAAAGAAAACACAATGCATGACTGTATGACAGAGAAAAGACGAAGATGTTGTGTATCTCTGTGAAAATTAAAATTGTGTTCAACGATTTCACACTCTGAGATCTTTCTTGATTAAACGAATACATTTTGAATATGACTAGAGTAACTGTCTGTGTATCTAATCAAAAACACTAACATTTTTACTAATACTCTGATTTCCAGCTTTGCAAACTGACTCATCTCTCACCTCTGCATGGCTGCCCGGTGCCAGAGTCTTATTGCATCTCTCACAGCGCAGACAAGGCCGGTGCCAGTTCTTCCCGAGAGATGACACCTTCTCAGCTGCACAGACAGAAACACGGACCATGGTAGAGACAGTCATTACACCGAGCAGAGGACTAAAACAGACAGTTTCCAATGCTTATGTAGAAATGTAGGACAAATACATGCTTGTCGCAGAATTTAAATATGAAACAGCATTCTGCTCACCAAAATACACTGTCTTGTTGCATCTGGGGCAGATGTTGGGGCCTCCAGAGAAAGATGAGAAGCTTGCAGCTGCAAAAGTTACAATGAATTAAACAAAAAAACTTAATAGTAACTACATCAGATATTTAGTGATTTAAATAAACGCCATTAGATAGAATTTGTGGTTTACATCATTTTAGTTGTACTGTAAAGCCAGAAGCCTAGAAACTAACTGAAAACAATATTGTTTTAAATAATTATAGGTATGAAGTAAGGTAATTTAATCCTGCCAGTTTTTGCAGCATTAGAGATTGCCTCAGTTCTCTAGTTTGAGATGTAATGATCAATCTGCTGTAGTGAGATCAGCACCTTTGCACCAACAGGAACATGGACTGCACCACTTTCTGAACAAACCATCAAAAAGATAATTAAAGACACATGCGTGTAGACCATCAAAATAAAAATAATAATAATGGCTACAGAAATAAATATGTCTGGGAAAATACACAGGAAAACATAAAATGTTTAAAAATGTCATAATAATAATAATAATAATAATAATAATAATAATAATAATAATAATAAAAACATGTAAAATTAAATAAATGAAAACGAAAATGAATTCATGTCAGTGCCCGTAAATGGATTACTTTGCTGTAGGATTAAGGCACTAATTGATATTTTTACTTTAGTCCTTTAGCTTTGATTCTTCATATTTCTGTCCTTAGTTTTCTCCATTAATTCTCACTTTCCCTAAAACAAATCTGGGGCTCATTTATTCCTTTTGTGTTCTTTAGTTTGCTGTTCCAAACCTGAATTAAACTGTATCCTGCCACAGAGGCACTGAGTTTCTCCTCCTTCCATATGACAGTTTTTCTATTTCTGCTCCACATATTTCTCACCCTTCACTGGTCCCCGTGCGGGGGCTTTTTTCTCCTCCTCTGGTTTGGCGTTTGTTTCCAAGGAAACGGCTGCAGGGGCTTCGTTGACAGGATTGTCGTACACGTAGGATCCAGCTCCACCGATGTTTACACCTAAAAACATCAAATGGTAGAATTCATAAATCTAAGTTTTATGAATCTGTGTTCATCGTCTGTATTTGCACATCAGGGAGAAACCCCACCTTTTGGTCCAAAGAGGGTGGCGTAGCATGGCTTGTGGCAATAAGGCTTTCCATCATGCTGCACAGTGTAAAGGGGACAGACAGAGGAAACATCCATTACTTAACACATAGAATAGAATAGAACTTTATTAACCCCTGGGGAGGTTCCCTCAGGGAAATTGTGATTCCAGTTGACCTTAAATACAAATAAAAAAAAAAATCAAGCAGATACAAATGGACTGAAGCTATACCTGTAACTGTTAATATTATGAACCAGACGGAAAAAAGAAAAAAAAAACGGCAGTTATATAAACTGTTGTTTTCAGTCTGTGTGGATTCACATAATCCTCCAAACTTGGACCGCATTTGAAGCCATTTGAGTTTGTCTAACCATTTATTTTTATGGTAATAAAAGCCCTTATCTCACTTTTGTTTTTAGACATAAAATAAGCCTCACTGATTCAGTAAAAGTAATGCTCCTGCTCATCTAGACACTGTCATCGTTTATATAAATACTCTGTGGAGTTTTTTCAGTCATCCCAGGAATGTACATTCACACAGGATGTGTTTTTCAGCTAAACTCAATTGAACCTTTCAAGCAAATATGCATGTCAAAGTGGTTCACATGACAAGACCAAAAAAACTGAAGACTAACAATAAAACCATTCTGAAAGCAGACAAATGTGCACAATAAAGGCCAAAATGAAGCACTGTGAAGAAAATACGGAGATAATGGACAATAAAGTTGCTCTCACTGACTAAATCAATGCATTTTAGCAGTGTACAATGAATACCATTGTCAGCTCATCTGTGATTTTCAGTACATCCCTTCCTTCTTAAAATCTAATTAAAACACAGCAAGAGCCACAAACAGTTTAATCTGATAAGTCTGATGAGTTTTAAATAACAGGCTGCTGAGCTGTTAATTTTATGTACAGCTAATTTTGTACCGAGTTTGTTCTGAACAGACTGAAGAACATCATGCATTGTGAATGATGATGAGCTGTCATATGTGAATATAAATGCATTATAAAAATGATTAAAGGGGGACACAGAGCACAAATCTTTGAGCTTATTTAAACATGATTAGGCTAAGCATATTCATTTTCATATTTAACTTGCACTACATGCACATAACCACGATTCAAGTCTATTTTCTTTAATCAACAGTTGAAACTGCCATCTCATCAAAGCACTAAGATGTGTGAAACCCTGTTGTCTCTGAGATTTACGCCTTCTGGTTTATGGTTCTCTACAACAATGTCAGACAATGTTAAACTCCTTAGTAAAGTACAGGCGCTTCCAGGTTTCTCGGAGGAGTGATGCACTGAAGATACACAGGTACTGACTTTCCTGCACAGTACATACGTGTTTTCAAAGACAGCACAGTAACTGTCCAAAAAATTCAGCTACTTTCTGCTGATGTTAAATGATCAGGTTTTTTGGTTGATTTCAAAAAGTCTGTATTTTACCATCAAACCAGGCTTACAGCCTCACAGTGCATGGGACATTATTGTTCGCTGTCACGGTTTATTATGTTGATGCAATGTAGCCTACCAACATAACCTTTGAACATGAAATATTTGCACTTCATAAAACAAAAACAAATCATAACTGCTTAAGGAAAATGAAGCATATACACTCTTCACATCCTGTTACCTCAGCATGGCCTCCTGGATTCAGAGTTTTGTTGCAGCGCTCACATTTTAGACAGAACTTGTGCCAGTCTTTCCCTAAAGATGACACTTTCTCCGCTGTGGGACAGGAAGAGACAAAGATTGTTTGATGTTATATCGTGCTTTTCGTTTATGAAACATAAAATAAATGGACTTAGTCCTGGAATTTCTTATAATATAATGAAGTTAATGAAGTCATAAGTTTGTCACAGCATGCATATATAAGTCTTTGGATCCAAAACGATATCTGGACTAGTTTGCAATAATTCATTGGTAGTGTGTGTGTGTGGGTGGGCGGGGACGCTATAAACAATTTAGATTATTTGAATTTTGGGAAGAACCCACTGCAACCAGAAGACCCACAAAGGAAAAGAAATATGCAATCTCTACTCAGAAGGCTGGATTCAAACCCAGGACCTTCTTGGTGTGAAGCTCTGACCACGGCACTACAGTTCTGCCCCCACTAACACACTAACAAATATTACTTACTTTTAAGTTGGATCAGTTTATAACTCTGGTAAAGTTTGAATTCAAATCTGTGTATAACCTTTTGAGTAATCCTGAAAACTAATAAACAAACTAACAAATCATACAGTACCAATCACATGGCATTCTTGACAGAGGGAATATGTTAATAAAATCTGATTATAAGTGCACTCAATGAAGTCTGAGTCATACTTTTACAAAATAAATGCAGTGACTGTTGAGAAAGAGCCATCCTATATGGGTCAGTGCTTTAGTGCTTAGAAAAGAGCGCTGCCACTGAATGCAGAGAAAGGGGAAAACATTTTTTTTTCTCTTTCTTTTTGTACTTTATTTGTGCACCAGTGCAAACACTCCTCCACAGGCAGGATCCTTTTGCTGCTGCTTTGAACAGAACCCATCTTTTCTATGAGAAAAAGAAACATTTTGTCCTAAAAAAAAAGGTTATTTTGATACAAAAAGTAGCTATTTTTGCCATGAAATCAACCTTCACATATGGGTCCAGCAACCTTTGGAAGAAATGATATGCACTGTTATTAAGGTTTTTGTGGGGGTGTGTGTCAGCATGTGAAGTACAGTAGCAATTATATTTTCTGACACAACCTGAATACACAACATAAGCACTAATGTATTCTGAATTATAACAGCCGAGTGACGGTCGAAGTGACAGACGACATTTAATGGGCACTTATGAGTTCATATCAGCCTGAAGCACATTCTTTCCACTGCTTTCTAAAGGGCAGTGTGGTGACTCAGACATTTCCATTTTTCTTATTTATTCCTTTTTTTAATAGAGCTACTGTCTGTTCTTCCATCCCTTCACATACTAAAGTTACCTTAATCTGAAGGTAAATCTAAATGTGAAGTCTTAAAAAATACCTTTTTTAAAATTTGGCGAGGTCGATCAAACAACTGATCTCTTTCCTGTCTGGATAATGGATGATCTTTGGATAATGTTAGCACAGCAGGGACTTTTGGAGGTTTTCCTCTGTTTCCAGTCTTAATGCTTAAAACCACAGAGTAGTGAATATATACCATATCAAAAACCCACAAAACTGACAACCAACTAGTCCTTTAACATTAAAACTGTGTTTAACGAAGGTGGAACTCATACACACAAAGCAAAAACTGCAGTAACTTTCACACATATATGTGTGACATGTCTAACACCACTCAGAAAAAGTTGGCATAAAGAGAGAAGAACTAAAACAACTTGTTTCACATGGAGGATGGAGTGAAGGACTTCACCGAGGCCAAGAATAAGATAGTTAACAATCATTTTCAACTTTGAATCCAGCACAGCCACTTTGATTGAGCCCTTTAATGAAAATACTGAATTGGAAATGAATGCAATCCCTTTTAGCATAATGGACACAAATACAAGTTGGAAATCTCAGAAACTAGAGTGCACCTTAATGACACCTGCTGCAAACATAACACATAGTACAGTGTGTTCAAATTACTCTGTTGTCCAAGTCACTTTGCAACCCACTTCCACCCATGCTCTTCCCGTTCATGCTGCTCCTTATTAAGGTATTATCCATGGTCATGTGATACCTGCTCTGCTCTGTACAGGGGGTCTTGCTGTTGCTCTTTCCACCACCAACTTTTCATTTCTGCACATTATGGTAGGACAGAGCTGTACCACACTGTACCACCAAATTACCATAGATGGAAAGAGCTGTCTTCTGTGGACTACAGCGGTCATGACTGTTTTTTTTTCTACCCAGTTATTTATGTGACTGCAAGGGAAAAATACATACAGTGTGAGTCAAGAGGGAAAACAAATATTACTCTGTTCAGTCAAAAGAAAAACATCATAACCCCCTTTTTAAGACCCGCAGTTTCAGTCACAGAGACTTTTTTGTCTAAAAGACAGGAGGATGGACAGAGGGAGCGAGAAATTCACTGACAGTTGCTTATCTGTTTGTCCTCCTCCCAAAATATCTCAGCTGATACCCTGAGACTGATACAACATGACACTTCCTGTTTAGACTCAATGCCTGGCCTCCCTGTCAGTGTGATATCTGACAGTAAGTCACACCGACACACAGAAATATGCCTGGATGGTGAAGGGCTCCAGTCTGCACAGCATAACATTGGTTTTCTTCTGGGTTCTTACTCAAGGAACTGAATTTACTGAAGAAATCACATTAGCTCAGTTTATTATTTAAAAATCACATTACAGACTCCGTGTCTCGAGCATCATCTTCTTTATGGCTATCGAGAACTTTGCATCCAGAAATCCTAAAGACTAAACTATCTCTACTGTAATAAAATCCCCTGCAAAACAACAGTATCCACTTCTAGGAGGAATACATTTTTGCAGAACCTCGTTTTTTTTTTTTAAAGCTTCTAATTTCCTGCAGAGTTTCAAAAGAGAGAGAGAGAGAGCAGCAGTTTGACTGAGCCTGCAGGGTGTGGTTTTGCTGTTGTTTTCCAGAGAAATGGGGAAGGGGAAAGAACAAAAAGAATATTGATCCATAAAACCAATTGGTAAATCAATCAATTATTTACCATGCCATATGGCATTGCACCAAAATGGAAAAAAGAAGAAGAAGCTAAAAATAGATGTTAAATTAACTCCTTAGTATCATAGTACCTCACCCTATTTGACAGTATTGTCTACTATCGAGTGAATATAGTATCCAGTAACCAGGGATTAACACGCTTAAACTCATCCTACCTGCTTCTAAAAGCCAACATAAAAATGATTTTTCACAAGCTGTCAGAAAACACAGCTGAGGCTATGACTACAGGTCTGTTAATGGCTCCCTGTAATCTTATCCAAAGATAGTGAACCCATCACTGCCTGATATGGGTTGTGTCGATATGCACCAGTTGTCTGTTGGACTCTGAGATTCACCATCTGGGGAATTTTTGGATCAGTTTTAGAGAAAAACTGTCACTTTGATTTCACATCCAATCTGGCAACGTGTCCGTGGTACTCAGCTGTGAATTTCTCTGACATTCTGTTGGACTGCTTTTAGGACCCAGAGTTTTGTATTGTAATGTAGTTACATGCTTATTTTGATATATTCTGTAAAAGACTTTCAAGCTTTAAATCAAATTTGACAGGTTAAAATAGATAAATAAATAAATTTACATGCCTTTACGTGGGTGAAATTATGCCCCATACAGTGACAGAGGATGCCACTGTATAAGGCATCCTCTGTCACTTTGTCTTTATATGCCACTGTATAAAGACAAATAATATTCATACTGTATATTTTAAAGTACTTTGACTCAGTGACACGACAGTAACATTTTCACACTGTAAATATAAATATCACTGATGTGGAGATTATGTTGTGACACTTGTATATAATTAGTTTGACTAATACTGGCTTGACTGATCAGCTGTTATTACCCCAACAAAGATAGACAACAGGTAAATGTGTGGTCCAATAAAAAGGATGCAAGAATGTGATCGATGAATATAAAGACAGACTCTATTAGTTAGTTTGCCCACAAGATAACATCACACAAAACCTCAAAGGATTCCAGTTAAAAATCTCTTTGTTCTGTGCAAATGGTAAAGGAAATAATGAGTGATTTAGTGTGAATGCATTTTTAATGTACTACCAATAAATAATTCATATGTGTAAATGAATTCAAAAATCCACCATTCACGATTCTAATCATTGTTTCCACCTAACACATAATAAAAATCATCCAACAGGATGAATGAGTGTCTTAAATAGTTATGTCTCTCTGTGTGTGGGAGACTCGATAAGCCTATTTATAACAAAACAATGCCCATTTTGATCAATGGGTGCAAATCTTCTGTAGAGCTCTAAAATCAGTGATGTATCCGCAAATTCTCATTATGTTGTATCCGAGAAAACACGTTATCGATTATAAGTAAAAGTCGATTTAAAGAATACTGCACTGTCAGTCTTTCATATTATAACCACCCCCCGGTTGACTATAACACTCCCACCCAGCGGTCATCGCATCTGTTAGAATTATGATGCTGGGCGGCCTCTGCAGCGGCTGCTCACTCACCGAAATACACCGTTTTCTCGCATTTTGGACATTTTGACGCCATGGTCGGTGTAAAGAGAGGAACAGGATCTTTTTCTGTTGGTCCTTTCTGTCTGTCTGCAGCTCCGGCGGCGCAGACACACCTCAGATGATGCTGACGGCGGCGGTGACTGTGATGAGACTGCGCCTCACATCCACCCTCTGCTTCTTCTCTTTCAATTGTATAACTCCGCCCTCGGGGTGACATCATGCAGCTCGCAACCCACCAGACAAAAATGTACATTTATGCCTCTGCATATCCTGTAAAAGCTTTTTCAAAAAAAAAAAAAAAAAAAAAGCCTCGGCCAAATTATCACATTGCTTTTTACATTATCATCATTTCCAGAGAACATCTGCTGAATGCACTGCTGCCACTCAAATTTCTCAATATAGTACCAGCATCAGCCCAAGGCTCTAGTTACACTTTTAAAAACCAAGAGAGCATTAAAGAAAGTTTTTATTGCACACGTTCTACTCCATTAATTATTGTAAACCCATATGCACATATATACATTGCTGTGCCAGCCTCTGGTTTGGAAATCTGGTTAATCTGATATCCTAGCAAAGTTAGCTCTTCTGCATTAATCAGTGTCGCCTTTTAGTTCTGTTTGTTTCCCCTGTGTGGTTGTTAGGTTACACAACATAGCTCTGCACAGGGAATGTTAAGTGATGCTCCGCAGCTCCCAAGTATATTACTCCGCATTCTTGGCCCAGAGATACCAGGGAGCTGACAGACAAACGACTTTTACGTGGGGTTAAGAATAAAATGTCAACACTAAATTATTTGACTATTTTAGACAGAAAAGGGCAAAAAATTCAGAGAAATCACCAGGATATGAAAATTGTCCTCACAAAGTGGCAAATTTAGAATATTAAATTTCTCAAAATGACACAACATATTATTATGAAGATATGGAACACTATGCAACATAACCAAAAATAAAACAGAAACAGTAATAAAAACACAGTGTATACAGAAAAAATGTAATAGGATGATATTTCTTTAAATGCTTGGTAAGTCATTGACAGTGTAGTTGTTTCTTTCTCTTAGTTCTACTAAACAAACCAGCTGCTGACAGGCGTTTGATATTTTCCATCTGCACTAGAGTGCCATCAATAGTCTCAATATTTAAGTTATCTCAAGATCAACTAACCCAGGTGTTGCACATTGATGTTACATCTTTGAGTTCCAACTTAACTAATAATAATTTGCAGTTAGAGGGAAAAGTGAAATAACTATCCTTCAATGCTGTTTAAAATAAATGCAGCATAAAAGATCACTTTAATTTACGTAGTGCCATTCACAACAGTCGTCACATAACACCCCTCTATGAGCAAGAACTTGGGAAAGAAAAACTAACTTTTAACAGGAAGAAAGCTCCAGCTGAACCAGGCTCAGGGAGGGGCAGCCACCCAATGGGACCAGTTAAGGGTGAGTGGAATGAGAACAAAGAAGAGAGGGCGAGAGAATAAAAGGCAAACTATGGAACAGGGAGCCAGCTTTTTGCTACTTGAACTGTTTATGTTTACATTTTTTTCCCCAATATAGTCTGGAGAATGGCACTATTAAGCTGTAAACTGAAAAACAAGTGGATACACTTTCCTGCTACATGATTTATTGTTAATGAAATAGAATAGAATAGAATAATCCTTTAATTGTCCCACAAGGGGAAATTCGGTCATGACAGCAGCAGAATAAAAGCACATATACAAACAGAACAGGACAAAGAACAGAAACACACAAAATTTTTACAGAAAAAAATATTTACTATATATATAGTAAATTCTGAAGTGTAGTCGGATGTTAACAAAGAGAGGGAAGGTAGCCAGAAAAGAGGGGATCAAACTACCAGAAGGCAACATTGCAGACATAGAGGACAGTTACAAGTACCTGGGGATCCC